CATAATCATATGGTCGGTGTTCTGGTAGCATGTCGGTATTTTTCTTTTGAAACACGTCTTTAAAATCCTTATATTGCTCAGGTATATTTGTTGTCAAGATTTTTCTCCTCGGTAGTTGGAGCCGCATAAATGACAAACGGTGTGCCTTCCTTGGGCGATCTTATAAACGTTCTTGCTCCAATGAATAAGGATTTCTCTATTCAGGATTTTCTACTAGGCTTGCTCTTGGGTGGTTTTGTGGAAAAGATCATCTTCCGCAACTTCCAATCTATGGATGGATTATGCTTTTCTAACCAAGAAAGACCAAGAATAACAGGATTTGATGGGATTCTAATAATATTGAAAATAATATGATTACTATGATCCTTAAACGTCACTTCTATAGGTTCTGATTCATGGGTGACACAACCAGACAATAAAGGTCGCCCATCTATGACCTCAACGTGAACATGTTTGGATTTTTGTACTAAAGGGATCTTATGATGCTTCGCATATTCTTCGTCTAAGAAACAAGCCGATGCTCCTGAATCTAATAATGCTAAAGTTCTTAGTTTTTGAGGGCCAATAAGCAAAGGTAGGTTGAGCAGAAAGAAAGGAACCTAGATGTTGTTGGGATATTTCACTGTCTAGTTGCACAGTTCCTATTGTGGCTGGGCATCCTCGTTTTCCTGAACAAATGTGCCCCTAGTCCTGACAATACGTCAATTTTGCTTCTTGAGGTAGTTTCCAACTTTGTGGCCTTCTTCACCGCAATACAAGGATAGACCTTCCTCCATGCGACACTTTTTTTCTTCTAGAGTAAGAGATTTGACATGTACCACATCAATTTGCATGTCTTCTACCTCTCAATATGAATTTACAGTGCTTGTCGACATAGCTGGGACGTGGTGAACCGTATGTTGTCTTGAACGTTGGTCTTGGTGACGTTGGAATAGGCAATTATCACACTTCACAGCTTCGCTAATAGCTTCGTTGAGCATTTGTGGATTAGGAAGAGTTAACAGCAAATCCTTCACATCTTCCCTTAAACCCCAATAGAATTAATTCATCAACGCTTCTTTGTACCAATTGATGTCGCATACTAATTGCTTGAAGTTCGATGCATAGACTGATGTAGAGCGCATCCCTTGTCGTAGTGATCGAATCTTTGTTGTAGCCCATCGAACCTTGTCATGTTCACCAAATGCTTCCGCAAATGCCTCCAAAAAGGTTTCAAAGTTGTTTAGTATGGACAATCGTTTCTCAAACAAAGGAGCAAACCATGATAGAGCTTGCCCTATAAGTAAGGTTCCAACAAGCCCAACACGTGACTCCTCCGTTGGATAGCGTTCAGGCTGTAAAACTATTATCAACCTGATTTGGTTGACAAATCCTCGAAACTTGGAACGCGTACCATCGAACTTGTCCGGAAGGCTAACTCGGGGCTCTTTATGTTATAGAACCAGTGGTGCTTATCGAACCTGAGGTAAAGTTGCTTCTCTAAGTGCAGAAGTTTGAGGTTGGTGCAACCTAGATTGTGCAATCCCAGATGCTCCATCATTATGAAGCCTTGCCACGACTCCTTCAATCTCTCCAGTTCTTTGCGATAACATAGCAAGGGCATTCATGATAGCATCTAATTTGGACTCCAAACTTTCTATCATACTAATGTCTTGGCCTCCAGCCATTCTAAGAGAAGGACAGAAATGACTCTACGAGAAGACAATATTGGTTTAGAGGAGGGTACTCTGCAACGTCTAAATTGCCTTAAGAGCTTCAAGAAAAGGGGTAATCCACTCTCTCCAAGAAGAATAAGACTCCAATATCGTAACAAAAGAAGTATCAATTTAAAGGAGGGTAATCCGCAACCTCTAAAATGCTAGTACACTTCCAAGGAGAGGGATAATCCGCACTCTTATGAGGAAGAAACTAGCTCTGATATCTGAGGTGGGTGAAGTCTCGACAAACTATCACGGACATAGATATACAGGCTCGAGATCTAACAAGAAGTTCAAGAAGAATTGGCAAGAACTAGATTAATCAGATGAATACAAGAACAACACCAGAGAGGTGAGCTAGAGCTCCAAGAGATGTGTTGTCGAGACTAAAGAACTCTTCAGCCTCGATTCTAATATATACTCCTATTTAAGAAGCTTCTCAAGCAACTTCTACTAACTAAGAAGCTTCTAGAAGGTTCCAGAGACTTGCTTCTAGAAGGTTCTAGAAACTTGTCTCTAGAAGGTTCGAAGGACTATGTCTCTAACAATCTTTTTCCATCAAAGGTGTAAACCAAGAAAGAGTACTTCTATATAGAAGTGCGCCTATGATGTAGACTTGAGTAAATCCATTCGCATATTGGAAAGGATGTAATCTTAAGTAGAGCTTAACTTATTATAAAAACCTTCAAAATTTTGATCTTGTTCCATCAAACTTCTCAGCATACTAATTCTTGCCTCTCTTGAGCTTATAGAAGCAAGACTCCTTGAATTTGGTTGTGAGGTTTATCGGCTTGTTATTCTCAACTGCATAACTTCTTGATGTAGACTTTGAAATTCTTCCATAAATATAGAAGTAGTGCTTCTATGGTTGATATTGGTGATGCGTGAAATTTCTACCCTTAGAGTATTGATAAGCTTGTGAAGAATTGCAATATTTCTAAATCTATTCTCACTTCTATTAAGAGTAGTATCCATAATCTTTCTTTTCATAAATAGCTCAAACAATTCAAAAAATTAAATTAGAGGAGGATAATTTACAACCTCTAATAAAAATTTCTATTAACAAATCTATTCTTTGTAAGGAAAAGATGAGTGTTAAAAAACAAGATTTTTTTGTTTAAAAGTAGATAGTTGGCAACCTTCAAAATACAACAATAGAAGTGGGATAATCCACTCGTTTCTATAACACAACAAAATTAGTATGTTAGCACTCTTATCAAACTATCAAGGACATGAATTTTGAAAAAAGAGAATCTTCAATACATTCTTATATTATTGAAAAGAACTAAAAAGTCATTCAAAGATGATATAATACTCAACTAGAATAGCTATTGCCAAAAACAAGAAGACTAGAAAGTCTTGAAACAAGACTAAAGACTAGAAAGACATTGATAATAGTGAAGAAGGCTTCACTCTTTCCTCCATATATACACTTAACTAAGAGTTACGTGGCGATGTCCTATACGACCTCCAAAACATGTTGACTTTGCTAGCCATATGTCTTAACTTGCAAGGCAAGTTATCTTTGTATGTGCCACATATTTAGCTTGTTCCACAAGCTATTAAGACGTGGTTAATTTATTGGCTAAGTTTCTATTCTATAAATACTTCCAAAGTCAAAACTGCATCTATGAAGCTTTTCAAAAGCTTCTTTAGAAGACTTTATGAAATTAATCTATATTTATCTACTTCTACTTAATCATATAAGTAACTATTGATGTAAATATATATATCCGTGATAATTCTTTAAGTTAGCTTTCTAAATCTTTTTTTGATTCTTAAATACTTTTTTATAATTCTTTGTATATTTAAAAGAATAATAGTAGGTATCAAATTCACATTCTAATTTCAAACAACCATATTTCTATCATCAAAACTTCAAATCATATATATTTTTTCTTCTAACTTCTAGTCCAAAAAATAAGCTTTTTGAATCCACCCTCTAAACTTTGAATGGGTTGCGTTGCCTTGAATGGTCCACCTAACATGGTCCTAAATTCCATTGTGGTTCCAAACAACCTCTTGAAGCCTATTAGGCATGACTTTCAATCAATAGAAATGAAGTCTTCTATCACTCATCTTATCCACCCACATGAGATTGCTTAGGAGTGAAAATATTATACTTTTTATACTATAGCCATTCTAAATTCCTTACTAATAAATCCTATGATTTTTATCTTTAATTATAAAATTTAAAATATAAAATTAAATAAATAAAATAAGTATTTTTATTCAATTTTATTTTTATTTTTAATTATAATCTAAACTTTCATAATATTTCATATTATTTTTATATATTATACTATTTTCCAACATGATTCCATCTTATTCACTAAAATTGAAAGTTAGATCTTTAATAATTGTATAATAGAACATGGCAATAGGAATATGCAATAGAATACAACTTATTGTAGATGCCTTTAAACCATATGTTATCAATGTTGAAATTATAATTGGTGGCGAAGCACAAAAAAAAATCTTTGTTCTCCAAACAAACTTGAAACCAATTAATGCATAATTTTATTTCAAATTATGACAAGGATAGTTGTCAATCAAACTTACTTTTTCTAAGTTAATCAACAAATCCGAGGTCAAACAATTTGCTCAATAATACAAAGTGAGGGCTCTAATGCCAATATATTTTTATATCTAAAGGATTTGATAATTCAAATAATGATAAATTTTTCTCAATTATCCATTTTAAATTTTTAATGAATTATTTTTTTTGTTTATCACTACACCTCATTGCTACTAAAAACAAGCGACATAGATATCCTAAGAAAACTCCGAGTACATTTCAGCAAAGAGAAATAGGTACATTAAATACCTCTTCATAGCCAGCCTTTCAGAATCTACAACATTGATGGAACAATGAAAAGAACACGTGACACAAAAAGAACGTCAGCATATGTGAAAAGAGTTGAAGCTCGGAACCAGGCCTGCCCACCTGCCTGCCACGTGGCGAAGCTACTGCTCGTTCAGGCATGAACACACACAGCGAAGGAATACCCGAAACTCAAACAAAACAAAAAACAAACGACCACGACGAAGAAAGATGGACGAACAGAAGGACGAAGAATGTGGCTCGGCGCCCCAACGGACGAGTCGTCCAGGGCCCAGCGCAGAGAACGAAGAATCGGGCGTCACCACAGTAGGAGCGGCATGGAGCGGTTGACACGAGAGAGAGAGAGAGGGGGGGGGGGGGGGGGGTGCCACAAGGCTGCAATGCCGCCAATCCTCCTTCCTCCCCCATCGCTCCTCCGTGTGGCATCAGCTTCTTCTCCCTCGGGAGCCGACTCGGTAGGTAGGGCATGCACCCACTCCCTCTTCCTCCTCATGGGACTCCTCTCTCTGCATCGCTCTCCCTTTGCCACTCTTGCCTTTCTGATTTGCCATGCTTCAAGTGTAAGAAGTAGTGCTTGCTTCCTTCCTTCTCTTTGACGGTATGCTTCCCCTCTCCTTTTACCTGTTTCCTTGGAGTGTTCCTTTTGTGTGGTTGCTTCTGCCTATTCGTTTCATTTTTGGTTTTGGTTTTTATTTTTATTTTGGAGTTTCTGGCGGATTCTTTCCGATTCGGGTAGCTGAGAAGATTACGTGATGTGGAGCTGCGTGGTCTCTATTGCTGGTGATAGAGATGGTGGTTTGAATGTGTTTGCGGGTGTTGTTCTTATCCCTGTGACATGAATCTTACTCAGGCTGAGGTACTTGAAGGGTTGATTGCACAATGGCTGTAGATAGGAGGTTGCGGTGTTGAGGTGAGGTATCTTGGGAATTGAGTGGTGTCAATTGAGTGCTTACATGATCGCAGGTGTGTGATCGACTGGGACCTGGACTGTGTTGCTGCTACAGCATGGCGGGTCAAGGTTTTTTCCAAGATATTTTTGACGGAGAGGCTTTCAAATACTACGCCGATGGAGAATGGAAGGTGTCTTCTTCGAGGGCGTCTGTGAGCATTACTAATCCTTCCACATTGAAGACGCAATTCAAAGTGCAAGGTCCGTGTCTTTCTACTTAATGTGCCCTCTACTAATTAATTCTCTCAACCAAAGAAGGCATCAGGGGATTATAGAAACATTTCAGATGCTTTGGAATCAACATGAGATCGGAGTAGAATGTGAATGGCAGAAGGTTAGCAGAGGCACAATTCAGAGTGGGAGACTTCGTTTATAAGAAACGAATTCCAACGGGATACAAATTATTCAGCCAAATACCGCCCACTAACACGTTTTTTGTCCTGTTTGCAGCCTGCACTCAAGATGAAGTGAACAAGGCTATTGAGAGTGCCGAAAGTGCTCAAAAACTCTGGGCTAAGACACCGTTGTGGAAGAGAGCTGAAGCGCTTCACAAGTTCGCTGGGATTCTCAAGGATCAGAAAAACGCCATCGCGGATGTGCTTGTGAAGGAGATTGCAAAGCCCCTCAAGGATGCCGTTACTGAGGTGAAATTTGCCGGCTGTCACTTTGTTATCAAGCTATTACAATTACAGGCTGAATCAAACTTAAACTTATTTTTGGCTTTCAAATGTCTGGAGCAGTGAGATTTCTAAACATGAGGTTGGCTTCGTACATGTAGGTGGTCCGATCTGGTGATCTTGTTTCATACTCGGCAGAGGAAGGCATTAGACTTCTGGCTGAGGGCAAGTTCTTGGTATCTGATAGCTTCCCAGGAAATGGCAGAAATAAATATTGTCTTGCGTCTAAGGTACAGAGGCTACTTGATTTATAGTTTCTTCATTCATATTTGGTATTTTTCCTGCAAACCGTGCTCCAATTTCATTCTCGTTGATTATACCCCAATGTAACCATTCAATTGTTTTCTTGGTCGCCTGCAGATTCCCATTGGCGTGGTTCTTGCGATTCCCCCATTCAACTATCCTATAAATCTGGCTGTGTCTAAAATCGCCCCAGCTCTAATTGCTGGCAATGCTGTAGTTCTAAAACCTCCTACGCAGGGCGCCGTTGCCGCCTTGCACATTGTGCATTGCATTCATCTGGCTGGGTTTCCGAAGGGGCTGGTTGCTGCTATCACAGGAAAAGGGTCTGAGATTGGAGATCTGCTTACTATGCATCCAGGAATTAATTGCATAAGGTACTAAGCATAGTGTATTGTTACTTGATATATGGTTGTTCACTAGTTATTAACTAACTTATTCACCAATTTAGAGTTCATGGAATTAATCATTTTTTAATTACGATTTTTTTATGAGAACAGTTTCACAGGAGGTGACACTGGCATTGCGATCTCAAGAAAAGCTGGCATGATTCCACTTCAGATGGAGCTTGGAGGGAAGGATTGCTGTATAGTACTTGAAGATGCTGATCTGGAGCTTGCTGCTAACAACGTGATCAAGGGTGGATACTCCTACAGGTTCGTGACTGATGTGCTTTGATACTGCACCGTGTTGGTTGTTGACTGGGCGAAGGTAAAAAGTCCTTGGAAATTTCTTTTTCCTCTTTTAATATCGAAAGGTTTTGTGGTCGTCCGCAGCGGACAGCGGTGCACAGCAATCAAGGTGATATGTGTTATGGAATCAGTTGCGGAGGAGCTAGTGCAGAAGATTGTTCAAAGAATATCAAAGCTTAAAGTTGGAATGCCTGAAGATAACTGTGATATTACTCCAGTTGTTAGCCAGTCATCAGCTAACTTCATCCAGGGTCTTGTGGAGGATGCCCAAAAGAAGGGTGCTAAATTCCATCAGGTCTGTTCTTATTTTAATAACGCCACTATCCACTCTCCAGGCCCCATTTTGCAAACTGTTCCGTATTAAAATCTCGACAGCTAAGATTCTTATGCGCAACGATATATCTGTTAGGGGACTTTAAGCATAGTTGTTTGAGAAAGTGCTGGGTAGTTTGAAATGATATTGCTTGGAGTAATTTGAGAAGCTCACCACAGCACATACTGAACGTTGTGGCTTTGCAGGAATGGAAGAGAGAAGGAAACTTGATCTGGCCTATTCTTATTGACCACGTGACACCCGATATGAGAATTGCGTGGGAGGAGCCTTTTGGACCAGTGATCCCAGTTATCCGAATCAAGACTGTAGAAGAGGGCATTCATCACTGCAACGCAAACAACTTCGCTCTTCAGGGATGTATCTTCACTAAAGATATCAACAAGGCAATATTAATCAGCAATGCTATGGAGTCCGGAACCATTCAAATCAACGCAGCACCTGCGAGAGGACCTGATCATTTCCCTTTCCAGGTATGGGCGCTTCTTTTTGTAGAATGTCTTCAAGATCATCACGATTTCATTTAGGCTCGTGAAGTGAGGTTCATGATTGCACAATTCTGAATGTCTCAGCAATCACAAGTCAAGTAATGCACATTCATTGCCTTCACATTAACGCAGGGCTTGCGAGACAGCGGTATTGGTTCTCAAGGAATCACTAATAGCATCATCATGATGACGAAGACAAAGAGCACGGTCATCAATCTACCAGTTGAATCCTACACAATGGGCTAGATCATCAGAAGCCCTGTCGTCTCAGATGGTCCTCCAAGTTTCAAAGAGGGATCTTAACACCACAGAGCAGGCTGCTAATTGAAGGAATGAATCGGGTCTCTGAAAGGATCTGGGGCACCTTATCAGAGGATTGGATTGCGATGGGGAGTTATTCGTGGATCACCTGGTCAAGTTACTGACCATAATATATGTTAATTTTAGATCATTTGTACATTCAGACTCCTTCAGTGGTAAGAGGGTAGGACATGCAAACAGGAGGTTCGTGAAGGCGCTATGAGGTGGAACGAGGAATGAATTATATATCTTTGAGAGATGAACATTCTGGAGCTGTTGGTGTAATTAGTTCCCACTTGTTTATACTCATCCGAATCATCCTTGTGCGCCTGGTGCATTATTCTCCAGCCGATCTAGTTGTATATTGCATATATACTGATTGGTTTGCTTCCGATGTTGATACGTTCGCGTTACCATCCGGCAAAGTCAACCCCACGCGTCTTGATGGTATTTTCTTGTCCATCGCAGAGATGGAGGTGGCATAAATTTACTAAAACATAATCGTTTTGTGATTGAAATTTTTAAACATTATCAACCCAATCTCCTTCAATGCTCATGTAAACCTCGAGCACAAACCCGATCCAAATTGAATACAAGAAATCAAATGTATGGCTTAGTCCTTGTCCAGGGTAAAATTTATGATTTTGATCTCTAGTCACGTATCCGCACAACTGGCTTTAGGTCTGGTTAACGTATGTGGCTGCAGGGTTTGAGCAGCCAGCAACTGAACGTACTTACCAGTCTCTTGTCAGGGTTAGAAAATCTTGACGCGACGGAAAGCTCTCCCCTATACCACATGTCTTTCACTGGAAGACATGCAGAGCATGAATAATAGCTATTCGCCGAAGCAACACGTCAGCACGAAGACATGATCATGCGAGTGGAGAAAACCATCGAAAGTAAATTCGAAACCGAATTGTAAGTGGACCTTCCACTTCAAGTTCAGAGATTATTACTGGCATTGTTGACGACCATCTCCGGGAATTCGCAAATCGACTGTCAAGGGGGTGTGAAACCGTGTAAAATATGACATGGTTTATAGTCAAAATAGCAAAATGATACCCGACATGCAGCTCAATCATCGGAGGGGCAAAGAGGAGATCCAATGAAAGAACAAAAGGCGGCAGAACAGAAGGGTGACAGGGATGTGCATGACAAATATAAGCTGCGCAAACCTCTAGGTGCGGCTGGGGAGAGAGGGCGGGAGGGAAGGGGCTTTTTTCTATATATATATATATATATATATATTTATATACATACACAAAGTGTAAACTACATGTTGTAAATTAACCTTTTGTTTGAAGCTTCATATGAAGTGAAACTCCATGTTGCATGTTTTTTGTTTCAAGCTTAATATGACATGAAACTCCATATTGCATGTTATTTCATGTTGTGGTGCTCTTGAGTTTCACCCTTAGTCTTGCAATGCTACTCTTGGTAATTTTTAGCAATAACATGCAATTTTTGATCTCTAATTTATCAAAAGTTGAATTATTGCTTCACTTTTGCTTTATTTTTTATTAAAAAAATAAAATATGTAATTAATCAAAGATTATTTTTGTCACTTTTAGTTTATTCCATTGATTTATATCCTTTGAGTTGTTTTATATAAGAGATACATATATATGTATATATAAATTATGTATTTTTATTCTCTTACATATATATGTATATATATATATATATATATATATATTTATAAATATATATATATATATATATATATATATATATGTATATTAGTTTTTTAAAATTATAATAATTATTTTTATAATATCTAAATATATATTTTAAAGATCAATAATACTTTTTTAATCATCTAAAAATATCATATAATTCAAAATAATTATAACTTCTAATTTATTAAATATAATTATTTTAAAAATAAAAATAGATAATATTTCTAAAAAATTATAATCTAAAATAAAATTATAAATTTATGGTATATAATTTGAATTTTATTATATATATAAATTTTAATTAAAATTAAAGTTATAATATACCTATTTTTTGAAAGATTTTTTAGTCTTTTTAAGTGACATAAGAGTATACTGATCTTTTAGTTCTTAAAATTTATGTCTTTTATAATTTGATAAGAGTACTAATTTATTTTTCTTATTTTGTTTTTAGAATTAATATTAGGAAACTAAATGAATTGTGGTTGTTCCTTGTAATAGGCATTCATATTGATCTTTTGTCATTCTTGAGCTTCTTTTAATTGCGCCTTCTTTTTTGCATATAGTTTTGACAAACAATTTTTCAAATCTTTTGCCACAAGATTATCAACTTTTGAAAAATCAAAAATATAAAGTTATAGATGATAACCATAATTGGCAAAGAATGTCTTTGTTGAGTAGAAAAATATATCAAATTATTATACTCAAACTTTGCCAATGGCAAAAGAGTTGTCCAATCATCTTAATGATAATTGATGGTACACCTCAAATATTGCTTTAGAACTTGATTCATCTGTTGTTGTATAAGAACATAAGTATATGGTAAAAAATGAAAACATGAATGTTGTTATAGAAGATCCTAATAGAAAGATATAATAAAAAAATAAAGATAAATGATAAGAAGATAAGAAAAGATTTAATCTTAATTTTGGCTTTATAAAGAAGAAATTTCTATTTGCTTTATAAGAGCATAAATACCTCAAATCAAAGTAAATTAGATAAGTAATTGATATAGAAATATTTAGGAGAGAATGATCAATAATTTTAGATAAAAATTACCTCAAATTATCAAATATTGATATTCAAAGAAGATTAATTGTCAACCTGAATCAAAATCAGATCTTGAGGGACAAAATCGGGTACCTATTGCAATTCTAGAGTTCTTTGGGAGTTTGAAGAGTGGGATTTGAAAGTAGACTTGTAAAGAAAGTTTTGGATATTGGTTTTATATCAAATAGATTAATATTAACTTTTGAGGAAATTTTCAAAGTTAATAATATTCTTGATTGGCTTAGATTTTTAGAAATAAAACTATGTTTATACATTCGAAGGTTTCTTGAGTTTTGTAGTATGTGTACAAATAAATTTTGAATAGAGTGCAAGTATACTAGTTGTAAATATGTGTGCAAATTTTGAAATCAATCAAATAGTTAGATTGAAGTGTAGGAAGGTTTTAGTGGATTGATATCTTAAAAATTAAAGTTTGAAGGTCAATAAGTATTTTCAAGATCTTTCTAATCCGTCAATTGGATTGAAGTGATTTTTTTTTGTATGCAGACTAGACTTGATTTCTAGTAATTTAAATGAATTTTGAGAAAAATTCAATGGTTCAAAAAGGAGATATTGGTTTTGGAAGTTCAACATTTAGATTAGAGTAGGAGGCTAGCCAATACTTAAGAAGAATTTAGGATTGATCTTCTATTTGATATATTTAATCTTCTTCAAATTTTATGTACTTATTTCCAATTTAGTTGTTGAGAGGTTTACAAAATCTTAAGTAAGATCAATGGTAAGATAGATAGATATTGAGATTCTAAATTATCTCAAGATTGAGTTAGTTTGATTAGGATTTGGTTTAGGATTTAGAAATTAGTTAAGATTTAAAATTTGTTTAGAATTTAGAATTATTTAGGATTAAGTTAAGATTTGATTTAAGATTTAATTTAAGACTACTAGAATTTTAACTAAGATGAAATTAAGATTCGATTGAGATTTATTTAAATTATATTTAGAATTTTATTCTAATATTTTTTTAAAAAAATTTTAGGATTTTTTCATGTTTTTTTCATAATTTCTTTTAGATTTCTTTGGATTTGATTAAAGCTTGATTAACATTTTAAATGTTTAATCGGAGTTATTTAGGATTCTATTAGGATTAAAATCTTGTTGTTGTAATTTTTCGTCTATCTTCTACAATCAGGTATTTGCTGCATTCTTAAGCAAGGCTTCACATAATACAATACCATTCCATTTGTCTATTAGTTTGAGGATAAAAAGCCAAAAAAAGCTTTATATCTACCTTTTATATCTTAAAAAGGATTTTTCAAAATCTTCATTTAAGATAGATTTTGTACATAGTATAAAATATGACATCTTGATAAAACGATCTACTATCATAAATATAGAATCATACAAATCTAAGACTAAAAGATTCGTGATAAAATCTATAGAAACAAAAGACCATCATTGTTCTGAAATAAGTAATAGCTGAAGAAGTTTATAAAATTAATGACGTGGAGTTTTAAATCTTTAACAAATATTATATAATTGTACAAAGTCTTTAATTAATTTTTACATTTGAAGCCACCAAAAAGCTTTAGATATTAGCTCCAAAGTCTTGTTTTATCCACAATGTTCCATTGCTAGAAAATCATGACAAGCTTGAAGAACACATAATTGTGCTTTGCCTTCTGGAATATATGATTGTTCTTCAAAGTAGAGTAGATTGTTCTTAAATTCAAACTTGAAAGTATAATGCAACTTAGAAGAATTATTCTTAATATTATGAACAAGAAGATCAAAAGATATACTTGATTGAATTTTCTTGATAAACGTTGAATCAATAGTCAATATTTATTTTATCACTTAAACATAAAAATGCTCTAATTTTAAGGATATACAAGGATGTAATTTTTCCAGAACTTCAATACATCATATCTCTTGATCTGATTATCCAAAGTTATTCAAAGTTTACATGAAGTACTGATGTATTTTCATCAATTTTTACAAAAAATTTCAACTATAAATTCATTGCAGATCTTAAGATATCACCAAAGCCCTAACAATAGCTTCAAATCCTAGTTTTTATATACATGCATGCAATTTCCTTTATATCTCACAAATTAAATACTCTAATGCCACAAAGTTTGTATGTATAGTTTTTTAATATAATTTTCTACATTCTCCAAAAGATTTAAGCCAAAAATTCTTCCAAAAATTCAAGATATGGCTCCAACCATTACTATGAACAAAATCACTTACTTACTGCCTTTAATTTGAATATGCTGACTTCAACCCTCTATAATTTCTTCTTCCAGACTCCAAATTTATTAAAAAATATATGAAAGGTGTGATTGAAGAAGTGCTCTATCCAAACCTAGTTGCCAATTCTTTGTTGCTATCTATAAACGTATGTTATGCCCCAAAGAGAGACAATAGGTATGAAATTGATACCTTAACTTTGAGTGCCAATAATTCCTTCATAAAAACTCCAAATCATACAAAATTTGCACCTAATTTGTATCTAAGATCTTAAACTTATTGATCCTAGCCTCCAAAGCTCGAATGACTTCGAAAGAGAAACCCTAATCCCTAATAAGGCCACAGGCAGCCTCCTTGAAGCCCATTGGACATGGCCTTCGACCAATAGGAATAAAAATCTCAATTCCTTGCCCTCATCC